AAAAAAGGGCTACGGCATCATAGCTCACAGCAACCTCAAACTCTTGGAATCAAGTGATCCTCATTCCTCAGCCTCCCAAGCCGCTGGACTATAGGTGCCCACCACAATGCCTAGCTACTTTTCGAGACAGAGTCTTACTCTTGCTCAGGCTGGTCTTGAACTCCTGAGCTCAGGCAATCCACCTGCCTCAGCCTCCCAGAGTGTTAGGATTACAGGCATGAGCCACCATGCCCAGCAACTCTTAAGTTTTAAAGTGTACACCATTCCAAGTATCATGAAGAAATCTCATTCCATCCCACTCCATTCTGTCAAGGGCATAAACTAGCCCATGGTCCATCATACAAGTATCCACTATCCATACTGTATATACTACTGGACCATCAGCCATTGACATTATCTGCTCCTGACATTCAACCTTTGACATCTCATCATTTTATCATCCCACATCATCATAAAAGTACAGTACAGTAAGAGTTTCTCTGAGAGAGAAACCGCATTCACATAACTTTTATTAATGTATATTGTTATAATCCATCTGGGTTGGTTGGAGGGTTTTTTAGTTTGTTTTGCCTAGGCTAGAGTGCCATAACCCCACCTAGCTCATAACAGCCTCAAACTCCTGGGCTCAAGCTATCTTCCTGCCTCAGCCTCCCAAGTAGCTGGGACTGCAGGCACCTGCACCATGCCTGGCAAATACTTCTATTTCTAGTAAAGATGGGTATCGCTTTTGCACACGCTGTTCTGGAACTCTTGAGCTCAAGCCATCCTCCTGCTACAGCCCCCCAGAGTGTTAGGATTACAGGCATGAGCGACCATACCTGACCAGATCTGTTTTATTTTGTTTTTAATCTCGTAAGTGTGCCTAATTTATAAGTTAAACTTTTTCATAAGTGTGTATGTACAGGAAAAAACAGCATAGTTAGGGTTGGGTTCTATTCAGTGGTTTCAAGCATCCACTAGGTGTCTTGGGACTAGCACCCCTGGATAAGGGGGGACTATTCTATCTGTTTCCCTGTACCCAGCAGAATGCCTGCACATGGCAGACCTTCAAAAACTATTAGGTCCCTTCTCCCTTTTCCCCCATGTCATAAACTGTCTCTTTATCGCATAGCACTTTACACCTATCTCAGGACACATATTCTGCCTCATATTAGCATTTTGCATATCTTTTTTTTTTTTTTTGAGACAGTCTACCTGGGTAAAGTGCCAAGGTGTCACAGCTCACAGCAACCTCTAACTCTTGGGCTTAAGGGATTCTCTTGTCTCAGCCTCCCAAGTAGCTGGGACTACAGGCACCCACCACAATGCCTGGCTATTATTTGGTTGCAGTTGTCATTGTTGTTTGGCAGGCTGGGGCTGAATTCGAACCCACCAGATCCAGTGTATGTGGCTAGTGCCCTAGCCGCTGAACTACAGGGGCTGAGCCATAGCATTTGCATATCTTACCCCACCAGGCTATGCTCCTTGATGGCAGAGAGCTGTTTCAAAAATCTTTATGCAGATACTTTTGCCTGTATTAATTGTTCAACAAATAACAGATAAATGATTTTATAATTAAAATAGCTTTTGTTCAACTGCTTTCAATTCTTTTTTTTTTTTT